ACTAATGGCTATTCATCCGAATCAAAACTGTGAATGCAGATTTGGACTTTGAAAGCAAGGAAAAAGAAGAAAAGGAGATAGAATATAATATCAGTAACCCTCACCGATCAGAAGCAGTGGAACAACATAAATCTCCAAGCGAAGGTAGCCTAAAAGAACTGTAAGAATAGCCTAGTACCAGGAGCAGCTATATTGTATACAAAGGATAATACAAAAAGCTTCCTACGACATAAGGGAAAAAAGTCTCAGACACGGTAGAAGGCAATGAACGGAAAATTTAGAGCCACAAAGAAAGTAAAATAGAGTAGGGTACGTGGCAATTCAGTTTAGGGCAAGCCACGCAGTTTATGCATACAAACATAAATGACAAAGTAAAATGTCATTTATGCCCTTGGTCGACCAACAAGCCTTTTCTATATAATAGAAAATTGAAACATGTCAATAAAGAATAAAACCGGAGATTGTAGCTCCTGTCACCCAAATTTTATGCTTTCAACTCCCGAAAAGTTTGGTCAAATTACTTCTTTACACTAGGAGTATATGATGTGCAGTTTTACACAATGAAAACTATATTTTTATTTTTTATTTTTTTTAGTGATGTGATGCAACATAGAAGGAATCCACTATTTTCAAGATTCAAGGTCAAATACATATGTAGGCCCTCAAACTTGTCCTTTTTGTCACTTTAACACCTAAACGTAAAGTTGTTCTTATCAGGCATTCCAACTAAATTCATCTGTGCCAATTAAACACCTAAACATAAGGTTGTTCCTATCAGGCACTCCAACTAAATTATATTTGTGCCAATTAAACACTGTCAAGGGAAAGGGCGCATGAACATGAAAAAAACTTGTTGATTTTTTATTATTATTATTATTATTATTATTATTATTATTATTATTATTATTATTATTATACTCCATATTATGATTATTTTATATATCCTAATATATTATTCCTATTAAAGCCAGATCGTCATTTTTTTCTTGGCAAAATCGAAGACAAAGTTGCTTGCAATTTTTTCAGGTGGTATGACGATGAAATTCTTAAGAAACATAAGAGGGCAAGCAACATTGCCTTCGATTTTGCCAAGAAAAAAAATGACAGATCTAACTTTAATAGGAATAATATATTAGGATATATAAAATAATCATAATATGGAGTATAATAATAATAATAATAATAAATCAATAAGTTTTTCTCAAGTTCACGCGCCCTTTTCCTTGACAGTGTTTAATTGGCACATATGTGATTTAGTTGGAGTGCCTGATAGGAACAACCCTATGTTTAAGTGTTTAATTGACACAGATAAATTTAGTTGGAGTGCCTGATAGGAACAACCTTATGTTTAGGTATTCAAGCGACAAAAAGTTACAAGTTTGAACGTATTTGGCCAAGATTCAAACATGACTTTAAAGATCTTAAAATGATCAACCGTACCTTCTTTTTTTAAAAAAAATTAGAAGACCTGACAAGTTACTGTGCATAGTCACCTTCAAATAACAGTTTTTTATTTTGAAGAGTCTTGTCTTAACTCCCCATAAATCTATTTTATTTTAATTCTACTTTCACCAGGTCAAATGGACATTAACGACGTTAATTTGCAATTAAAAAACATACAATGTCTGTGTTAATATTCAACTATGAGTATTATTTATATCATATCCAAATTGGGACATATGCACAAATGGCCTTTTTAGGCTGACCTTAAATTTCTGTCTCTGTTAGTTCAGTAATCTAAATTTGTCCGAAAAAAGCCATTTAATTTCTTCTAAAAAGCGAAATGTAGACCTCCGTACTAACGGAGACACGATTTAAGGAGTGCCCTAAAAAGGGGTAAAATTTATTTGTTTCAAGGTCAAGTTCTATCGTAGATGATCAGGAACTTTGTATGGGATAGAATTTCTCTCAATTTGTATTTTTTATGTACGAGATAAGTTAAAGACTTAACAAAAAATCATACAATATTCACCTTTTGTATTCATGTGTGCCTTTTCTATAACACTTGTAGGATTCTTATAGTCTTTCCATAATGATTAGCAATGACAAGTGGCTATACATAATACTAATTAGTTATTGAAGGTTTCAGCATATATCTGTCAATCTTATTTCACTTCTTGGGAAGCTAGTTTATCGTTTACTGGTTCAACCAAACCCAATAACTTTTGCTCAATATTTATATTAAAAGATCCACTTATTAAGCATAAATAATTTAATCAGAACCGAGTAAGGCACATTTTTTAGAATTTAAAAATCATAAACACAAAATTCTAATTCTGCCTCTACGCTTTCTTATAGTGCATTGCCTACTGACTTTAAATAATTCTTCATTCCTGAGTGTAAAAAAGAGTTTAGTGTAGCAATTAAACTGACCTAGTGGAGTTATTGTGGAAAGGAGTTAAGTTAGTCACTTTTTTGTTTGTGCAAAAAAGAAAAAGCCAACTTGTATAAGTTTCAAGCTCCAAAACACGATATTGGAATTCACTTATATAAGTTTCGAATTTCAGAACACGATTTGAGTTCATTTGTAAAAGTTTGAACTACAAGACACGGTGCTAGAGTTTCACTTGTATAAATTCGAGTTTCAAGGCACAATCTTGGAATTTCGCTTGTATAAATATCAAACTCCAAAACATGATTCTAGGTTTTACTTAATATAAGTTTGAACTCTATGACATGACACAACGTCATGGAGTTTCACTTGCAACGATTTTGACATGTATAAGTTCTATTTATAACACTTCAAATTTCGGAAATTTTCTCGAGTTTATGTGATTATTTTTCAATTGCTTTATTGATTCTTATTTGGTGACTATTTTTCATCTAGTTTATAAATGCTAGTTATATTCCAATTAAAATCTTTAAAAGTGATTATCTGTGTCATTTTCTCTCCTAAATTATAACCCATCCTCCGTAGATGTAACTACAAAACTGAAGACTAACTCTAAGGGATCGTTTGGTTACTGGGATAAGTAATATTAATTTTAGCGTAGAATTTGAGATTGTAATCATTCCCTATTTAATTATGAGTATTAACTAATTTCGGTATAAATTTTATACCAAAATAATACGAGTAAAAATCATTTACATCCCTCAAGTTTGCTTTAAAAATCAAACTCATCCTCCAATTTTGAACAATTATCATTCTACTCCACATATCAAAGGTGTCTTCTTAAAATACCTATTTTACCCTCTATATTTTTTATTTTTTATTTTAATTCTTTAATATAATGATATTTTTTTTTTAATTTTAATTTATGTTATCGACTTATCTCTAGTCTATAGACAAATAAAAAAAACTTTTTTGAAACCAAAAAAGTGAGAAGTAGTAGTCAAGCATATAAGTTAATGATGTTCGATAGTGAAATAAATAAAGAAAATAATTACAATAAATAATTTACTCGTATCAGTAATTTTATTAATAGCAATCAAAACTCAATCTATTTACAAAACTGAGAATAAAAGAGAGAGAGAAAATTATAAATTATACAATGCAGGTAATAAAAATATATTGGGCGAAAATAGAGGTAAATTTTATAATAAATTTGCAAAAATTATCTATTTACACTTTACATGAACTTTATTTATAATTTAGAAAAAAAATCTAGTAATAACAATCAGAACATAAAAATTTATATACACATAGAGAATAAAAAAAATAGAGGAACTTAAAATCACACACACCGATATACATTATATGCATTGTAATATACATAATATTAAAATAATAATAATAATAATAAAGTAGCAATGCATTTTGTAATAAATTTATATTATGATTATTTTATTTATAATGTTAGTGAATTTAGATTAAATATATAATAAGATATAATTTTTTAAACATATGAAATAAATACTTGCATTAAAAAATATCTAAATAATATAAAAAAGGCATTACATATATGGGAAGTAGAAAATATCAAGGGTAAAATAGATATTGCGTAGGATGAAAATGACAATTGTTCAAAGTTGAAGGATGAGTCTGATTTTTAGAGTAAACTTGGGGGATGTAATTAATTTTTACCCAAATAATACTTTACCTATCCCATATAAAAGGTGTGATAGTTTATCTCTTGGGATATCATAATTCGTAGCCAATGGAATATCCCACAATTGAACCACATGACCGTAAGTGTACTAAGGTGGGCTTCATTGCCCCTACCAGGCGGAGCTATGTGTTATAGTGAGGGGTCACCGGACCCCGTAAGATTCAACAGAAATCTTGTTATATATATATATACCTGGAAAATGGTTAATTTAAAATACTTGACTCCCTGAACACTAAAAGCCTTTAGGGGACACTAGTTGAGTAGAATACGATGCCCCCGTCGCGTAAAAATGGTGGGTCCGCCTTTGCTTGCCATAACACTAGTTTCTTTTTCAATGAAACTGTGAATTTATTTATTAAGACTACCAGCAAAATTCCAAAATATTACAAACCATAATAATGTCTTTAAGGTCATTTGATCTTTTGGGCAAATGGTAAAAGCTCGATTCATATCGAAATAATTTTACATTTTATTTGCAACAATAAGAAGAAGAAAAAATGATTTTGAAATGCTTTGTTTTGAAAAAAGGAAAGATAAGAAAAGATTAAAACTTGTTGGCACTACGGAAAGAGGAAGAAGATTCATAATAAACTGAATTTATTAGCTTTAAAGGAAACAAAGATTGTAATATAACAATGCAGGATACTAATTCAAAAATTTTAAAAAACAAATTGAAAACATAATCCCCAAATTATGTATGAAAATATTAAAACTATAGCCATTTCAATAGATGAAGCAAATAATACGCACTACAATAAACAAAAAGCCAAAAATATGAAATATAAAAAGTCCAAATGTATTTATCAGATTTCATAAATAGGCATTTTTTATCTCTTTTTTTTTTTTCTTTTTCCTTTTTGTGTTGAGAAGGTGCACATTAGCTTGCTGACATAGTAAAACTGTAGAACCAATTGAACAATTAATCAAACCTTTAAAAAAGAAAAAAATAAAAGAAAAGAAAAAACCTTCCTTCATATTCTAGAAATTTAAAATTCCACTCCAGATTCCCCAAATTATTCCAATTCCAATTCCAATTCAATGCAGGAATTGAAACCCTAGCTCACCATATATGAGAGAGCGCTGTTTCGTAAAGAATAAAGCTTTAATTTTTTTCCGCACTAGTAGGAAAAGTATAAATCTCTAATGCATGTAGCAGTGGATCTGAATTCCTACTTGCACTTTGTATTGACGGCCATAGTCGTCGTATTTTCACTCCTCTACCTCGTCAAGACCACCGCCTCCAAGTACTTTCTCGTCGACGACGAGTCTAATTTTGATTCTGCTGCTTCGCCGCCGACGGCGAGTTTTGGTGATCGGAGAATGGAGGAGCCGCCGACAACAACGCCAGAAGGTTGCGGGGTATGCGGTAGTATCACCTCTAAGCAATGCTCTCGTTGCAAGATGGTTAAATACTGGTAATGCTAAGCTCATTCCTGTTGATAATAATATCTAAATTTACACAATTATTACTTGTTAATTTTATGTTTAATATTACCTTGTATAGTAAATTCTCTGGACTGGTGCCGACGGCATAAGAATTAATAATCAGGTACACTAATACAATATTCGGACTTTGGATTGCAATAAAGAACACTGCTTTACTAATCAAAGGTCATGTCCTCGGTTAGCTGAAGCTGCGCCATGTCTTGTCTAATCACCTCCCCACTTCTTCTTTGGCCTACCTCTGCCGCTCTGTACGCCCTCCAATGTCAACCTCTCACATCTCCTCACCGGGGCGTCTGTGCTCCTCCCCTCACATGACCAAACCACCTAAGCCGGGCTTCCCGCATCTTGTCCTCAACAGGGGCCACACACACCTTGTCGCGAATAACCTCATTTCTGATTCTATCTAACCTGGTGTGCCCGTACATCCATCTCAACATGCTCATCTCTGCTACCTTCATCTTCTGGACATGAGCATTCTTGACTGGCCAACAATCAGTCCCATACAATATCGTTGGTCTGACCAACACTCTGTAGAACTTACCCTTAAGTTTCGGTGGCACCTTTTTATCACATAAAACATCGGAAGCGAGTCTCCATTTCATCCATCCCGCCCTAATACGATGTGCGACATCTTCATCAATCTCCCAATTCCCCTGAATAATAGACCCAAGGTACTTAAAACTCCCTCTCCTAGGGATGGCCTGCGAGTCCAGCCTCACCTCCCCTTCCCCCTTGAGTCTCTCCACTGAACTTACTCTCCAAGTATTCTGTCTTGGTCTTGCTCAACTTAAAACCTTTAGATTCCAGAGTCTGCCTCCATACCTCTAATTGCGCGTTCACACCGTCTCGCGTCTCGTCAATCAATACAATATCGTCTGCAAATAGCATGCACCGCGACACCTCCCCTTGGATGTGGCGCGTCAGTACGTCCATCACCAGAGCAAACAAAAAAGGGTTGAGTGCCGACCCCTGATGCAACCCCATCATAATCGAAAAATGGTCCGAGTCCCCACCCACCGTCCTCACTCGGATCTTTACTCCATCATACATGTCCTTAATCAATCTAACGTAGGCAACAGGTACACCTCTAGCCTCCAAACATCTCCACAAAGCCTCCCTCGGAACTTTATCGTACGCCTTTTCTAAGTCGATGGACACCATATGCAAGTCCTTCTTTCTCTCCTTATACTGCTCCATCAATCTCCTAACAAGGTGGATGGTTTATGTAGTCGAACGCCAATGCCCTAGCATAAACCCAAACTAGTTCTCGGAAATAGACACCCTCTTCCTCACCCTTAGCTCTACCACTCTCTCCCAGACTTTCATAGTATGGCTAAGCAGCTTGATACCCCGATAGTTATTGCAATTTTGAATATCACCCTTGTTCTTGTATACAGGAACCATCGTGCTCCACCTCCACTCTTCGGGCATCTTTTTCGTTCTAAAAATGACATTAAATAACCTAGATTTCATCCACTCCAAGCCTGCCTTGCCCGCACTCTTCCAAAACTCCACCGGGATTTCATCCGGCCCGGTCGCTTTGCCCCTACTCATCTTACACATAGCCCCTCAACTTCGTCAATGTTTTATTCCATAACAATCAATTTTGTGAGTCTACAATTTGGTTATAAATGGATGATTACACTTTTCTACAATTTTCTTGTGTACTAGTATATAGAGCCCTGGCCATATAAAGTAACTTCTCGACATTGTTGTCAAAGGCTTAGTTGAGGTGTGCTTAAGCCCTCAAGCTAGATGCAAAGTATCTGTGTGCTTCGCGTAGATTGAGCGACGCTTTAGCGCAGACTCCAAGGCGCTAAAGCGTGTGCCTCATTGCCCAGGGGCTTTGTCTTGAAGAAAGTGACAATGAGCTATAAGTAATTCACCTAATTTAATATCTTCAATTCTTTTGTCTATATAATCATTCTAAAAGATAATTATTACTACTTGGATTTATAATTATTGTTTTTGAGCTACATTTAGATTCTCATCATTCCGTTCAACTGTACCTTTTTTCGTTAGAACCCGCTCTTTATTTGCGCTTGCGCTTAAAGCCTCAATGGACTTAAATGCTTTTTTTCGCTTTTCGCCTGTGACAACACTGCTTCTCCCAGCCACATATACGCAATCTATGATAGCATCTATATCTATACAGGAATATAGAGCCCAAACTAAGTAACCTTTTTGTATGTATATTAAAATATAAATCTTGGATGCCATATATTAACTTAGCTTTTACTGTGAGACTATGTCAACCAGTTAATTTTGTGTAATTTCATAATTTGGCTATCTAGCACAATCTGTTCTACATTTTATACTTAATTGTAACGTACAGAGCCTTGACCTGATAGAGTACCTTCACTTCAAGCTTGGTGTCCACAGCGGTTACTTTCGTATTAAATCTACAGTTTGATTGTATAAACAATATACGTGGCGATAGTTTGTAGAGACTTCTCTCTAACAGCAGGGGTTTGAGTAGACCCAAAGTCTAGCGGAGGGTAGACTTGATCAATTTTGTATAGTACAGGGGCAATTTTGACCCTTTCCCTTTTTTTTTATTTTTATGTAACTTGCGGTTCACTTCAAAGAAGCGTGTGTTCTACTTCTCACTTTTTGCTTAAAGCCCCATGAACCTTGTCACTTCTTTGTGCTTTTCACTTTTAAAAACACTGCTCAGGGGTGACCATAATCTATTAACTTTTCCTTGTATACTTGGAGTGCCTTATTGGTTAACGACTGATTGTTTTTGCTCTCTTTCTTTCTCTCATAGCTCTGAAGCTTGCCAAAGATCTCATTGGGAATCTGGGCATAAATTTAAATGCAAGGATTTTAGGAAAGGCAGTTCTTCTGCAGCTTCGCTGATACCTGACCATTCGAAGAAGGTACACGCCGTCTTAGCTAATTACACAACTATGCATATATGTTATAAAACACCTGACCATAGTTTGGTTTAATCATTTAGGTACTTTTCCCATACAAGGAATTCTTGGAACTTTTTAACTGGGATAGCCCAGGTTTCCCACCTTGTGGGCTCCTAAATTGTGGAAACAGGTATTCCCTCATTTTAGACTCTAGCAACCAAGTATTATTTAGTATGCCATTTGGCTTTTGTCTACATTGTAAATATATTCTTTTTGGTTTATGCAGTTGCTTTGCGAATGTGGTTCTACAATGTCTGACTTACACTAAGCCGCTTGTTGCCTACTTGTTGGAGAAAGGCCACCTGAGAGAATGTAATTGCGTTCATTAGAACAAGTATACGAACTAGTGCTTCTTTTGAAGTGATCAAAACAGCTCTTTTTGTTATACACTTTTTCTACTCTTCCTTCAGGTAGGCGGAATGGTTGGTGCTTCCTTTGTGAATTTCAACACCATGTAGAGCGGGCTAGTCGAAGTCAGCAGCCCTTCTCACCAATTAACATACTTTCACGTTTGCCTAATATTGGTGGTAATCTTGGGTATGGTAAACAGGAGGATGCCCATGAATTTATGAGGTGTGTTTCTTTGGTATAGTAAAGTTGATGAGTATCTTACAGTACGTGTGATAAATATTTTCCAGTGTAGTGTTCAATGTGTTTCACGAAGCATATTTTACACGAAATAATGACAATTGCCTTCTTTTATAGGTTTGCTATTGACACGATGCAATCTGTGTGCCTTGATGAATTTGGTGGAGAGAAAGCTGTTCCTCCTAACACACAGGAGACAACACTTATTCAACACATATTTGGTGGTCACCTGCAATCCCGGGTAACTTTAATTTAAGATGGAGAAGACATAGCATGTGATTATCCAAAGAAACATAGGACTTAATTTATGTTGCATCATCAAAATATTTTCTATGTGCTTTTCTGATATTTCAAGCTGCACATGTGTTTATGCTCTTGTATTATTTTGATCTCTTCCCTTTCCTTCTCTGCTTAACTGAGTTATTTCTATTTTAGGTCATATGTACAGAATGCAATAATGTTTCAGATCAGTTTGAGAATATGATGGATCTGACCGTAGAGATTCATGGGGATGCTGAATCTTTGGAGGAATGCTTAGATCAATTCACAGCAAGAGAATGGCTTGATGGAGATAACTTGTATAAATGTGATGGGTGAGGTTCTTCATACTAATGATAATGAATTGCATCCATTTTACAATCTGGAATGCCATTTTTGTTGATGTATGGTTTCATATTTTTTACTTCACACTCCTGATTGATTCTATACCCAGATTTCTGTGTTCATCCATATCTAATAACATGATGGACTAATATAGAAACACGACACTCCCTCGGTCCTATTTCTTTGGCTTAGTCTTACTCCCGCCGTCCCAATTTATGTGTCACCGTTCGGATCAAACTTCTTAATTTTGACCGTGAATCCGAACATAGAATTTTTAAGTTTTTTTGAAATAAAATTTACATATTTGGTAACTCTGTAAAAAGTACTAGGCCCTCCGTCCCAATTTATTGTGGCACTCTTTCCTTTTTAGTCAGTCTCAAACAGAATGCCACCTTTCCTTTTTTAGGAACAATTTATCTTTAAAATTCCTACTTGACCCTTAATGAATTGATTTACAGCCACATAAATATCTATGGTTTATTTTAAACCACAAGTTTTAGAAGTCTTCCATTCTTTCTTAAACTCGTGCCGAGTCAAACATCTCCACATAAATTGGGACTGAGGGAGTATTAAGTCACAATAATTAACACATCAAAATATTTAAAAGGTATATGAAAAATTGTGGCCAAAGAAAAACTCTTTTGACTCTCGAAAGCTGAACGGTGCCACATAAATGGGAACGGAGGTAGTTGTTGGAAAATATTTGACAACAATTATCAGATATATCTTTAAAAAAATAGGGAAAAGGCATAACGACCTCCTTCCTCCCCCCCCGAACCATTTTGAAGTGTATTTAATTCCTCCCTAAGCAAACGTAACAACAACAACAACAACAACATACCCAGTATTATCCCACACCGTGGGGTCTGGGGAGGTTAGTGTGTACGCAAACCTTACCCCTACCTAAGCAAACGTAAGTGTTAAATTTTTTTTTATAATATCTCAGTTATTATATATATATATATATATATATATGTTTCTGTTATTTTTTTCTTTTTCTTTTCTTTATTTCTTCTTTTACTTCACCTTTTCGGGGAGAACATGAATACCGACGAATAATTCTGGCAAATCTTCTTTCCTTTCTTCCATTTATTTCCTCTAATCTTCTTCTCCTCTCTCTCTCTTTCTCTCTTACAACTACCTCTCGACACCTTCACTTCATCTTCCCCTTGCCTCTTTTTCATTTTCCACCCAGTTAATCTCCAATCTAAACTCCACCTCGGCACCACCATCTCGTCACACACCATATCGACACTATTACCCGAAATCCAAATTTCATTGCCCAGATTCGTAGCACATGCAAAAAGTATGAGAAAGAAAAAGGGAAGGAAAAAGAAAAAAAAAAAAGGAAAAGAGAAGTAAATATGGGTCTTGTTAGTTCTGTGGAAATCCAACTATTTAAGCACAACCAATGTCGAGATTTAAATGGAAAGCTGGCAGCACTCCACCTGCAAAAGAACTCCACAGGGAGAAGTTGTTCTGCAATTGTTTTAATGGCTGAAAGGTAGTGGAAAGGGAAAGATGGCAAAAAGTTTTGAATAAAAGAGATTTAAGTGGGTACACATGTGTCAGATTCATGTGCGTGTATTTCACCACTTATTTCAGATCTGGATATAGCATTTCAGGGTGGAATTAATTCCACTTTAAAATTGTTCAGGGGGTAATAGGACTCTTTCCCTCAAAGAGTAAGTGTGTAGTTGAAAATCCGACTATAGTTTGAGGGGGTCTTTATGCCTTTTCCCAAAAGAATATCTTCAAAAATTTTGTGGTTGTGGTAGTAACTTTTAATTTAGGTTTCAAATATAACAAAAACATTGTAATTAATTGAACTCAGCTCATGTTGACCGTAGTAGGTCATTCTTTTATGGGGTATCAAAATGTCTCATTGCAAAGTTTAGAGTTTCTCGTGCCAGTTTTCCCACTTGATTTTCCTTTTTTATTTGGGTGGTATTGGATCTCACAATCCTTGACATTATGTCTTTCTATGCAATTTTTTTCTATTTGGATGAGACACTCAAGTTTAGCATGTGTCTGAGAGTTATTTAGAGCTCACTAGTTAAGTTGCGGTTGGTTAACGACCAATGCAAAAATTGTCAAACTGCTGGATACTTACCCGACCCCATTACCCCAACTAGTTTAGATTGAGGCACAGTTGATTTGATGATGCTGCCTAATCGTTAATAGTGGTCAACAACTGTGGTTGTTCTTGCAGATGCAATGACTATGTCAAGGCATGGAAGTGTCTAATGGTCAGGAGGGCACCAAATATCTTAACAATTGCCTTGAAAAGGTTTCAGGTTGGTTTTATTTTTCTATTTATTGTGCTTCAACCATCTAGGGCAAAGTGCACTATAGACCCTTAAACTTGTGTAGCTCGAATGTTAGCCCTTAAACAAGTTTTTCGTTCAAACTTGTAAATGAATGATCCTTGCTCTTTTTCTAGGACCTATCCGTCTTTAGTTAGTAGTCAACAACCTATATAATGAGGGGTCATGCTAGTCATGTATGAGCAAGTGCTAATACCAAAATTCTTTAAAAATTTAGAAGAAAGGTTCATGTCCAATTTTCACCTCTCCAGCAAATCATCCCTACATTAAGGTGATCCTCATCATTTCTCTGCATGGAAATCTTTTGCCCATATTCAAAGTAAAGATGTAGATACTACAAAAAATGGACTTCTTTTAACTTATCACCAGGACAGATAGCCCACAACATGGCTACTATGTAAAAGTACTTCAAAGGAGTTGAAACGTTAAAGGAAGACATTCAATCCTTCAGGTGAAATATAAAAGGAAAAAAAGAAAAAAATGAACAGTAACAAAGGTCAGATTCTGAATCAAAGAGTTGCCACAAGTTTAATGGCAATTGGCTGCATGCTAACTCTAAACTCCTTTTTCTCCCTTGGCACCCTTCTTCTTCCATGGTTCCATTTTTCTAGTACAGCAATCAGACACTGCCAAATTTATAACATATGAAAAACGAAAAAAAAGAGCCTTCCTCCGTCCGAAGAGAATGCAAGGGTAGGAGAATAAGGGCCAAAATATCTAAATTTGTGTTAATCAAACTTTCAATTTCTCAATCTTCTTGAAGTCAAATTTACATAATTAGGAACTATAAAAAAGTTTCATGAAGCGCAACTTCTTTTGTAATTGTTAATATTTAGCAAATATTTAAAAAAATGGTAGTAAAAGAAAAAAATGGTTTGGTTCCCACGTACTGTGTCGTTTAAATGAGACAAAGGGAGTACTAATGCATAACTTGAGTATCTTTATGGTTTGTTTCATAAAGAAGCAAAGACAAATTAGAAGGAATGAACTCTAGAAATGCAGGAGAAAATGAGTTGTCGTAGCAGGAAGCGACAGAAATGTCCGCCCTTTTTTTTTTTCCTTTTGATAAGACTTCCCCTTAGGCAATAAAGTGGACAAGTTCTAAAGAAAGAGCTGGTTTTACAGGTTTTCTGTAGTTTACTTAGATTTGTATCATGCACCAGCAATATATTAAGGTGTAAATTGTTTAATTGTTTGTTCCTGATGTTGGGCAGTGGGCACAATGGTCTTTTATTGTCAGTGTATATTGCCTGAATTTAGAAAGCGGGTCCTTACAAGTCAGACAAAATAGTTTAGTCTTTTACCGTATAACCATGGGATATTTGAGTGGATATTTCATGTTCAGGTCCTTTAGGATTGTTCTGCTGTTGAACAAACTGGAGCGCCACCTTAATTGTGAAAAGAGACTGTCAATATGTATTCTGAAAATTTCAAAAATCGAAAATTTCTCAAAAAAGAGACAGTCAATATGTATTTCTCAAAATGAATATTTCAGCCATAGCTTTATGGGTTCACATCAACATTGAATTTAGGTTCTTAAGTCTACAGGAAAAAACGGGTCTGATGGAAGTCCAGCTGAAGAAAATATGTTCGACCTAGGATGTACAGACTCCAGGTGTACCTTGAGCTGACAAATAAGATCTTACATGAACTCTTAATCTCCCATAAATATTTTTCTTCAGGAGTGTTCAATGTCAATCTGAAGATTATCTTTGTTTAGATAGGCTATGAGTTCACTATTTACCACGTAGGTATGAAATTAATTGGTCAGACATAGGCTTTTTCGATAAGACATCATTATACTTAAAGGAACATTGTTTAAGAAATGCTAGGCTCCTTATCAAAAAAAAAAAAAATTCCTTAGGTTAGAGAGAAATTGAATAGCGTAATATTTAAAAAAGTTATCATGCATTATTGGATTTGCTCTTTTCTTCAGTTGGGTTCCATTCAGAGACAAGGATGCACCCTAGGTTGTAAAACAAAAGGATAATTTAATCCGTACGTGTTGCGTTTCTAATTGCTATTATATCTTTTCTAGAACTGCAAAACAGAATTTGCATTATTTTATGGTATGGGTGAATTACAATAACTCAGGTAGTTTCTTTCTCTCTATTAACATTCCTCACCCACTTCCTCACCCCCAAGTTCCATTTTATTCCTGGATGCAACTCTGTGAGTTTGTATTCCAAATTTCTGCTTCTTCTGTTTATTTGTGGTCAAAATCTCTATGCAGAGTGGTAGGTTTGGTAAATTGAATAAGAGGGTGACTTTCCCTGAAACATTGGATCTCCATCGGTACGTGAGCGAAGCAGGAGACGGCAATAATATTTACAAGCTATATGCAGTTATTGTTCACGTGGATATGTTGAATGCGTCATTTTTCGGCCATTACATATGCTATATCAAGGATTTCCGTGGAAGTTGGTACAGGATTGATGATTGTAAGGTAGAAACTTCTCCCTTGCTCTACCCTCTTGTTTGTTGTTGTATGCCATCGCAATGCACGAAATGTATTGGTTGGTAGCTGATTTTGGCATGTCGCACTTTCATTTATGTTCTTCTGTGCTGATTATCCACAGTGTAATCTCTGAAGCTTGGTAATTTATATGAGTTGCTATATCCCGGTGAATGCTATATTGGGCCTGGCAAATGCTAGTTACGTAGATATGTTTGACGATAAAATATATTAATGCTTCTGCTTGAAAATGCATGTTGCTATAAGCTAGTTGTCTTCTCTCGTAGATTAGTTTTATCTTATTTGTTGGCTCCTTGATTTGCCTTGATGTACCTGGGGTTGAATGGATGTGACATGCTTTGGGTGTTTCGTGCATGCACCAGAAGTTATTAAAGCTGCACTCATATCATACGCGCCCATTCCAAGATCATGTACCATAAGTAAAAAGTGAAGCTTCAGAAAACTTTATGCTTCTTACTTTTTGTGCTTGTGGATGTTTAAAGTGGTTTAATAGATGAATCTAATTTGAGAAATGTAATATTTGTATTATTTAGGTAAGAATCTACTCCATGAATGTGACATGTATACAAACTTGCCTGGGTATAAGTATATCCCACAAAAAAAGTATAAGAAACTCGTAATATGGGCACCTTCTTTGCTGTGCCACCTTCTCTCAAATTTTCCTTGTCGTTGTCATGTAGAATGTGACACCAGTTTCTCTGTTAAGCTATGCAGATTTTGACACTCTTGGTTGTTTCTCAGTGTATGTTTGGGTCTGCAACAATGTCAAACTGGGAATATAGGTGCTGTGGGAGTTAGAGCACTTAAGCTTTATTAGTAAAAGTCATTACTTAATAAATAATCTACCTCAAACAGCATGATCTCAGTACAATATCCCGCTTATAGATACTTCTTAATTTGTTTTTCCTTTTCACAATTTTTCCTTCATCACTTTAAAATGTTTGTGTGCGACGCATTGTACAATTTTTGGTAGGTGGTTAGTGTTGATTTGGATGAAGTGCTTTCGCAGGGAGCATACATGCTCTTATATAGCAGGTAACCTTCTTTTGACCATGATCTAATTGATCTGATATGTACATGCATCTCTTCTATTTAACATGTTGCGTTGCCTTTGGCAGCAAACGTTCTTGATTTGCATTTACTTTTGACAGGATCTACCCTCGGCCGGCATCCTTATTTCCTCTTGAACTATTAAAGAAAGAGGACCAGGATACAGTTAAAGTGGAAGACAAGCCAGGTTCCACAGACCAACCTGTTAAATGTCTTAGCGCAACAGTGTCTCCGACTACAGTTGTTGATTCTGTTTCACCGCCAGATGTTAATGGTTCAGAAGTTAAGATCATTGGGGCTAAAGTGGAGTTATCCTCCTTAACCAACCCTGAGGACAGAGCGGAGCATCAGGAGGTAGATACTGGGGCAAGTTCTCATGTCCAGCAGGAGTTCCTGGATGTTAAACCATCCAGTGCAGCTACAGGAATTTCTTGCCTTAGAGTGGTATCTGATAGTTCCTTTGGTGCTACTTCTTCGGCTGAAGTTGAGATTCAGAAACGTGAAACAAAATCCCCTGTTTCTGACAGTAAAGATGATACTGAACCATGCCAAAGAACCACCAATGACTGTCTGTTGAGTTCTTCGTTTACCGAGGATTCTGTAGCGACAAATGGTGATATGCTGGATGATGCTTCATCCTCTGCCTCAAGCTTAGGTGACATCTCAGACAATGCAAAGTTACAAACTTCCACTCAACTGCCAGACAAAACTAACCAGAATAAAGAATTTTCATCTCACGTAAGCCACCCTGTGGTTCTGAAATCAGGTGGAGGGAGTTCTTCTGGACCAAAGTTAAAGCCACTGTTCGCCCCTGGCTTCCTTGGGAAACGCCCATCGAACAGATGTACCAAGAAAGATGTCTCATGGGAAGTTTGCCAGAATAGCACCCTAAATGGTCTGACAAATGCCTGTGCCAAGCCTGAATTGGCTTGTGAAAATGACATTGATATGGATGACCAATATACTAATATGGAAGACAAATATTTTGAGTCTAGTAATGCTTCAATTGGACAAGCTGCAATTTCTCTTAATGAGACTAAGATGGCCACCTGTAAATCTGGGGAATCAAGTCACCTTGAGAATGGAGATTCTGCTGTCCCGATGGAATGTGATTGGAGCACTGATGTCACCATTAGTGATGAAAAGTCATAGGTAGCGCAAGCAATCAGCTGGTTTAGATAGGGAATCTCATGGACGAGTTGAACTAGAACCTCCAATTGTCAAGAAGTTTGGATAGCTCCTACAAGAACTTGGAGAAAAGATAACTAGTGTCTAAATTATATATTATGAACGTTTCCCATTTAACAAATATTTAAGTTTTCAAGAGATCTAGTTCATCACTGAGGAGGCAATGGGTAGCTTTTTATTTCGACATTGTTACAGAGCTTCTTCAGATGTTGATGTTAAACTGGAAAATGTCATGGTCCAGGAACCAGATATCATTCATTCAGGGGCTGATATGAGGTACTAGTACTAATCTATGGATGTTTTGGCGATCCAACTACAATGGAGATAGAGAATAACCAAGTAGCATATTTTTAATTGATATTATTGTTACTCCCCTCGTCACAATAGAACGTACTGGGTATTTTTTTTCCAGGGTTTCAAAATTTGAAGAAATCTTGGACAAACTTGTATCCTTTTTGGCTGGGTTCATCTAGCAAGAAGGAACTGTCCGCAATACATTTGTGGTATGGATAGAAGTTCCATAACTTTGAGATAGTTCCATTAATTGGATTCTATTGCTGCCTAACCGCCTGTTGTAAATGCTAATTCTTTTGTTCTTATAGTTCTTGTAACACTGGGTGCTGTAGTTTAGAATGAGAATTCTTGTTTACTTCTCATTTAGAATTAAAGTTAGGAAAATTGAGGGGTGGGATGTAGTTAAGGGGTGGAAGCGGAGTATACAGCTAATTTAGAAGTTGTTCGTCCGGTCTACTATTTTCACAATTGTTTTAGGTTCCAAAATTAACCAAGCTCACTCATGTAGTTTTTTCTCTAAGATTGAGCAAACATTGTTTGCTTGAATCATTTATACTAGTCCATTTGGTGATTGAATGCATATTTCCGAATCATAGTTTAAGTTTTATGTGGTGAGGAGGAGAGGCCTCATGTGTGTGTGTGTGTGTGTGCGTGTTTTCCTTTTTATTGGGTGGGTATGGGGGATTGGAAGCAGGTCCCGTGCTACGGGGGACAAGGGAAGCAGCAAGTCATTTTTTATGTACTCTGGATCTTCATGAACGTGATTACACCTTATTGTGTAATTTTTGGAATTTGAAATAAGTGCTGCAGAATGGTCCTATATGAATCTGTGATCTAGTCCATCTTCTGTTAGTTTACTACAGCACAATCTTTCCGAATTTCACCAAGATTTCCAGTTTTGACCCCAAACCTTCCAAGCTTTGTCATGGCAGCAATGAAGACCCTTTCAAAAGCTGTCCTGTTTGATGCAAAGATATTCACTATTCTCCTTGACCCCCTTTTAGTAAACAGTGTCTGGTCAGAAGTGAACAGCCCTTTCCCTCTCTGTAGGTTCTTGTAATATGTGTTATCGAACACTTGAGGGGTGTCTGGATCCATGGGGATGACTACTCCAGGAGGTGCATCTTGTGGGCACATTTCTTGGAGTTTCTTAGCATAGGTTGCATCAATTGTTGGATCAACCTTGTGTGTGCTGTTAAAGTTGTATATCCTGCTTGAGAACTGGTTTCAATGTGAAAATCCTAGTGTATGTGCTCCTGCAAAAATATAACTTCACCTGTTGGGTGATTGTTGCTTGATAGACATTTTAGGCTATTTCATTACGAGATAGAAAGCAACAATTTGGTCGACAGGTACAGTGGAGAGAGTTAATTTTCTTACATATTCATCCTCATTTGGTGAGCAAGACTACTGTGGAAAAAGTGGATAAACGCTATTCTACATAAATCAAAATGTGCTTCATTACATGTGCCTAACTGTGATATAAGGGTCAAAATGAAGTGATACTGTAGTGTTTATTTTTTTAAAAAAGTAATTACCACGGTATCCAACTTCGGAAACCCAAATATTTATTGCAAATGGCCCTTGCAAAGAGCAAGGTAAGGTATTCAAATTTATCTCCCTAAAAAGAATGTTAATTTATATAGTATTTTATAGCAATGAAAAAGAAAAATATATGGAGAAGAAAAAGAAAAAGAAACGAAATTGGAAGTGGTAATATACCTGAGAGGGCAATCAAATGTCTGATAGTCAGACCACGAGAGGCAAACATAGGAAGGAGCTTCTCTATGTCGGAGCTTGAGTGGGGTAGATTGTTTTGCACACTAGTTTGTGAAGACATTCTCCCGTCCCTCCTTCCTAATTCAACAGCATAGTTTGGTCCTCCTGCCTACACATCCAATACTTAAAACTATTACAAATTCTAAATCCTCATCACCAAAGCAAGTGACCATACCAATTACCAATAATTATACCGATAACAACAACTAGGGATGCTTATCGGGCGGATAATTATGCTTAACGGTTCGGCTTAACGGTTATCGGATTATAAATGTAGTAATCCGCTAGCCATCCAATAAGACAATGAGCAGATTGGTATCAGATTAATAATTATCGGGCGGTTTATCGGCTAAACCAAATAGAAAAGTTTTGAACAATCAATACCAAACTGCCATAGTAAAATGGCATGTCGATGCTTTCAGACTTATGTCTGATTCAAATTCAAAAGACTGTCTTGTTAATCTAAGAGTACTTTTGAAGAGTCGCCTTCCAATCTAGTACATACAAGAATTATTGATAAGGAAGACATAACAGATACTAGCTAATCTATGCAAAGAACATAGTTCCAGTTCATTGCACTATACAAAATCAAGATGAGCATCCTAAACATGAAGAAAACTAGCCTAATCCATTTTACTACAGCTCCGCCTAACTTTACTGTGCTATAATATGAGCTAAATGTCTGGCTTTTATCATTTCAAGTTGAACAACACAAAGCTCAAACCAGTTGAACCAACACAAAAGCAGCTGTAGAGTCGTTTTACATAGGGGTAAAAGTATAGATATAAAAATTCTTAACAGGTTTAACGGTTTACCCGATAAGAAAATTGAGTAATCCGCCCTCAAACCGTTAATTATAAAATTTCAATCCGTTCACCATTCATTACCCCGATAATCCGATACCAATAAGCCAATAAGCCATCGATTCGGTTCGGCTAACGGTTTCAGTTCGATTTTGAACCGCCCTAACAACAAAAGTAATAACTCATAACCATTTTAACAAAAGAATAATAAAAAATGTAGGGACGGGTTTATAAGTATTAGTATTAATTAGTTAAGACATTAGTTTTCAAGTACTTGAGAGAGAGAGAGAGAGAGGATGGCACATCTAAAGATCCGTACAACATGTCTGTCTCATATCATGCACATGGTGTAAATTTCAATTTCTTCAAGGAAATAATAATCTTGTACGTAATAAGGTAAGAAGCAAATTAAGCGATCAAATCAAACAGTTAGTGTATACCAATGCAACGACATCTCTAGCGGCGATGGCCAAGATATCAGCACAAGAGACTTTGTTGTTACAAGAAGGCACATTATCGACTGCAGCTTTGGCTTTAATAACAGTGTCAAATCCATCTCCAGCAAGGGACAGATTTTCCAGATGATCCTTTTCTGCTGTGTTATTTCCTGACGACCTCAGTAAGATGGAAGCATCACAACCCTAACATATTGTCATTAGTTCAAAACACATTCACTCAATTTTCCTTTGTATACATAAAACGCATCTCACAACAAATAAGAATGCATTACCACTACTAACATTTACGTTCCATTATATATATATATGATAGTGTAAAATATTCCTACTCACAACAATGATGCAAAAAGAATACCTGTATAAAGCAATCATGGAAGAAGAGTCTAAGGGTTGCTGCTGCTGTAACAATTGTCTGTTTAAACTTGTCTTCAACTGCTGATCGGACGATGGACTCAACATTTGGACATGAATTCCGATAAAAGTTCCGTTGGAGCTGAGCATTGATACAACTACTTGTGAAAATGGCAGACAGAAGAAGCAATAAGAGAAGAAATTGGCTACTATGCATATTTTCTACTTCTCTCTTTATTCCCTATATTTTCTTTGGAAAGCTTTAGTGGGATTTTATAGCTAATTACACTTGACTGTTTCAAACGGAGTGCTTATCTTTTGTTCGAGTATGTAAAGTACTGATTAATATATTTTCTCAGAACAATAACTATATATGTAGAAAGTTGTAGTGTAAGTACGATGTAACAAAAACAATAGAGATTCTCGTTGGAGAATACAGCAAAATTTATATTAAACAGTAGAAACTACGTATAGTATATTTTAATTATGAAACGTCAACTTAGGCCAATACTAAGTCCCTTGGTTATATTTGTGAAAATGATCATATAACTAAAAGAGCATTGTAATGTTTGGTCCTTAATTTTTCAATTTAGTACTCGATAAATTTGTATTTCAAGATTAAATTAGGAGATTTTTAAAAGTAAAAATTATCTTAATTTTGTTTTTATTCCTACATTGCATACAAGTCTCTTATTAAACTAAAAATAGTAAATATGATCTGGGACTGCTAAAGAAACAAAAGAAAGAAATTAAGTATAAACATTCAATTTGGCNGACTTCCAAATGGCAGAAATAGATGTAGAATGTTGACTATAGCTCTTATCTAGTGACTAGGAATCTTGGGTGGTTGAGAAGGGTTCGAGCAACAACACACCAAAAGATAAGCACATGCACCCCTACAGGCTACAATAAAGACATAAATGACAGCTTCTTTCATCTCATCTTTGTCTAACACTTATTTGGCAAGTGATTTTGATATCATTTTTTTGTTCACTTTTTTAAATTTTCGATAAGATTGACAAGTAATAATTAGAAGAAATTCATGTTAGAAAAAGACATAAGAAAGGGGATAATAATTTTCCTAACCACCACACTACATGCATGATTTTTTGTCCATTAGTTTCATGTACAACATCTTGTGCACACATATAATTTGTAGAAAACGTCTTTTATTTTATTTTATTCTAAAAAAATCTTTGCTATGAGGAAGGTCGGGATAGAAGTAAAAGGAAGGAAATTATCGTAAAAATTGGGTGGGAAGGCCAATTTTTTTATTTTGTATCCAAAATTTAGCCGTCATTATTTGAAATGTAATTGAAAAATAACCATTTTTAATGCAGAAATTGTAACGACCAGGCCGATCGTTTTATGTATTGTAGTCTCGTTCCCCTATTTTTTGCTTCTTCTATGCTCGTTTGTAGTTATGTGACTTGTCGGGGTGGTTGGTTTGGTTTCAGGAATCTTTTGGAGTGAATTGGGACACTTAGTCCCAAGGTTGAAGGCTTAAGTTGAAAGAGTTGACCGGAATTTGACCTTTGTGTACGACTCCGGAATGGAGTTTCGATGGTCCGAATAGCGTCATATGGTGATTTTGGATTTGGGCGTATGTCCGGATATTGATTTAGAGGTCCGTAAGTGTTTTGGCTTGAATTGATGAAAGTTGGAATTTTAGAAGGTTTGGAAGGTTGAGAGGTTTCACCGAGAGTTGACTTATTGATATCTCTAGGAGTTGGAATAGGTCCGTTGTGTCATTTGGGACTAGTGTACAAAATTTAAGATCATTCGGAGTTGATTTGGTATGGTTCGGCATTGGTTTTAGAAGTTGGAAGTTCATTAGTTTTATTAGGCTTCAATTGGGGTGTGATTCGTGATTTTGCAATTGTTTGATGTATTTTGAGGTTTCGACTAAGTTCGTATCGTGTTTTAGGGCCTGTTGGTATGTTTGGATGGGGTTCCGGGGGGCTCGGGTGTGATTCCGATCAAGTTCGGCTTCATTTTGGTCTTGAGGAACTGGTGATCTGATGTGTGGTGTATCCTTCTTCGCGATCGCGACATAGTGGTTGCATTCACGTAGTGTTATTCGGTGGCAGGTAATTTTGTTCTTCGCGTTCGTGAAGAAGGTGACGCATTCACGAAGGTTTTGAGGGGTTGTGCGTCGCGATTGCGAGAGTGGAGCCACGTTCGTGTAGAAGAGATAGGCTGGCTTGGGCACCATGCCTTAAGTCTTCGCGTTCGCAGATAGAGGGACGCGTTCGCGTAGGCATAGCACTGTGGGGAATCGCGTTCACGACCTGGGCATCGCGTTCGTGTAGAAGACTTTGGCAACTAAAGAATTTTGTTATTCGTGATCGCGAAGGACTTTACGCGATCACGAAAGGAGAGTATTTGGGCAGAATGTTAAAAAGTCATTTCAAGGGTTAGAGTTATTATATCATATTTTGAGTTGTAGAATTTGGTTTTGGGAGATTTTGAAGAGGATTTTCACAATTTGGATCGGAGTAAGTATTTTTGACTCGGATTTGTTCATTTATCATGATTCCATCCATTTTTATCATTTATTTGGTGATTTAGAGTAGAGAAATTGGGGATTGTTTTAGAAACTTATCAAAAATGAAAAAATAGAGATTTGAAGGTCGCTTTGAGGTCGGAATTGGATAATTTTGGTATGGTTGGATTCGTAATCGAATGGGTATTCGGAATTTGTGAATTTTGCAGGGTTCTGAGGTGCGGACTTAGGATTGACCTTTTGATTTTGATAAAGATCTAAACTTTATTGTTTGAAGTTGTTTTCTACGGTATTATTTGTTGATGTTGAGTTGTTTGTGACTAGATAACAGTCATTTGGAGACTGATACGCGTGGGAAAGGCTTGTTG